GCATGTCTTTTTCGCAGAAACATCCAATATTACTCCCTTCACATCATTACGTGACAGACTTAATTATTCGGGAATCACACGAGAAAAACTTTCATGCGGGCATTCAATCTACTCTTTATACGATTCGCCAACGGTTTTGGCTTCTCGACGGAAAAGATCAAGTACGCAAAATCGTTCGACATTGCGAACGTTGCATTCGGTTTCGTGCATCACCCACGGAATACAAAATAGCCAATTTACTGAAATACAGAGTCGTAGATCAAGTCAATCCGTTTTATCACACCGGTATCGATTTTTTCCGTCCAATGTTCGTCAAAGAAAAGAAACAGCGAAATTGAGGTTGCGTAAAAGTGTATGATTACGTATTTATATGCATGTCAATAAAGGCCGTACACATCGAGTTAATTAGTGATTTGACAACCGAAACGTTTCTAGCGGCTTTAAAACAATTCATGGGACAAAGAGCCGTTCCCACTCATATTTACTCAGATAACGGCACTAATTTCGTAGGCGCAAATAATCAGCTCCGCGAATTGTATGCGTTGGTCGAGTCTGAAGAATTTAAAATGCAAATTAACGAGTTTGCTACATCAAAGAAAATATCGTGGCATTTCAATCCATCCCTTTTATCTCACTTCGGAGGTATATGGGAAGTCGCGGTGAAATCATTTAAACACCACTTTAAACGTGTGGTGGGCAATCTTCTATTTACATACGAAGAATTAAATACTTTGGCAATAGAGATTGAGGCTGTATTAAAGTTTTGGCCTTGTGCCCTATATCTACGGATCCAAATGATCCATTAGCATTATCACCTGCTCATTTATTAGTAGACAGATCTTTCACAATGCTGCCGGAGGATAATTTAATATCTGTTCCAGAGAACCGTTTAACATGATGGCAATTGATAACCAAGGCCCGCCAAGATTTCTGCCGTAGATGGCATATCGAATATTTAAACAAACTTTAGAAACGTCAAAAATGGATCAATTCTAGCACAAATTTGAAACAAGACGCAATTGTGATTCTCATCGACAAAAATCAGCTGTGTATGCAATGGCGACTGGGGCGAATAGTGGAGACCTATCCTGGAGACGACGGCGTTATACGAGTAGTCACCTTTAGGACAACTCAAGGAACATTCCAATGTAACGCAAAATTAATTTGTCCTTTACCAATTATTTCATAATTCATTGTTAACAATTTTGGTTGTACATGTATGTAACACACGACCTTTATTATGAGACGTTTATTAGTTGATCGTTACACTCCCAACGGGGGGAGGATGTTCCGCGGATTATTATTATTATTATTATAATTTTTATGTTAAAGGAACGTGTTTATTTTATTTTCCCGAATTAAACAATTATTTTATTTTTTTTTTCTTAATAAAACGTCTTGTTAAATAACGCATTTTATTTATCGGCGTGTTAATACGTTTTGAATTTGGTAAAGTTCGCGCGTTATCGGTGGTCCTAACATCCGTACACGTTCCCGTAAGAGACCGCTCAGTAGCAGCGGCGCTCCCGACCAATGATCGAGGATCGATATAAGGCGGCGGGACCTCTGTCTCCGGCTAATTTGGCGACGGTTTTAGTATCAGTAAACTTCAAACGAGTTAGTGATTCCCGAGCCTCGTGTCTGTATTGACGAATTTTTCTCTAGATTCCATAACTTCAAGACTTATTACAGTGGTGATCACTCAGTGCGGGAATTAGTACGTTTCATTCCTTACCAGAGTAACTAACGTGCCTTCAGGCTATAAACAGATCTTCGGGCTATAACGTGACACATGTGTCGAATCATACGATACGTCTCTACTCGAAAACGGGAGACGATTATCATAATATTACGAGGCCCCGGTCGTAACAGAAGAATTACTGATACATACGATTTAGTCACGCATGAGCGCAACGTAACCAAAGGGTTACATATACGATACACGTCCATTCGCGCTTACGCGCATTCCAACGCACACATACCACACTTACACGAATTTTCTGTATATCAATGGGGTTTTTATGCCGCAAGGCTTTTCCCCTATGAGCCAATAAAGACATTTATATCTTGGCTCAAACACAACGATCAATTAATTTGCATATTCCTCATCCTACTATACGAAACCACGGAATCTTTCCTGGGGAAAGTTTCTCAATGATACACTCTGCGTCTCGAGACGCTGCTTGTTCTTAGTGGAGAAAAGTAACGCACACAAACGCGATCCAGTATTGCCGATTCCGAGACGCTGCCTCATACGCACACAATATTTGTATGTTAAAAAACTAATTCCTTTTTATGCTACAAAAAGTTTGTGTTTGAGATGCAAAGTAAATTTTTAGTAAATTCTAGAATCATTGATCAGCGTCAATAATAAAAGTCACGTTCTTTTTTGTATGTTTGTCAAGGTAAAAAGATGTCATAAATTAAAACCTGTCATTACAAAACATTCTTTGCATATAAACAATTAGCGGTATCGCAACCGTTTTCGCCGGATACTTATCGCGCTAAAAGCATGCGCAAAATTGCCACGCGGCCTCAATCACCAATTAGAAATAGCGAGCGACCGCGCACGCATGGCAAACCGCGAGTCCTTTGCGCATCTTAGCGAAGCGGCCAATTATGAGCTGTGTCCTTGAGTCACCTCAAACACAATTTAAATTGCTCACAATAATTGGCGCTTCTCGAGAGGGTGGGTTTTCTTCGGGAAACCATAAAAGAGAGCTTGCACCCGAAATTCGCGCCTTATCGCTTTTTGCAGTGACCGCATAACGCAAACCGCATATTAGTTAATCCGCAAAAATCTCGTTGACGACCACCGCTTATGCCGCATTTTGATCTCGATTACGTTTTTTCTGAAATAATTAACTGTTGTAATAAGTCTTGTTCAAGTATATTTTGTAATTAAGTGTGTGTTGAAATTAAACCTTTTGATACAAAAAAGTGACTTATCCTGTTGTATCGCGCGATCCTCTCTCACGCAGCGCGTTTGCGAACATATTTCTGGTCCTTCGAGCCGGATCACGTCGTGCCGGCATCCGCAAGTTTGTGAACGTGTCTCTTGGTGCAGTCAGTGAGTTCGTAGATCGACATGGATGTGAACACTTTGATCGATTGCCAACGTGAGATCCAGGTCCGTATTTCACGCTCCGTGGAATATTTGAAAAAGCTGGGCACCACTAACATCACCGCCAGTGCCGTATCTACACGCACCAGGATTCTAGATCAGCTGTGGACGAAATTTGAGGCACAGCATGATCTCATTCGCGCGGCTCTGAAAGAGAAATTTAGTGAAAGCGACTACTACAAGTCGGAGTTGCATGGAGATACTGAAAATCTTTACGTGACACAACGCAGTATCTTGGATGGCTACGCTGAACATTTTCGGAAGCCGAACGTATCTCCATCAGTCGACGTCGCATCAAAGTCTTCGCTGCCGCGCATCAAGTTGCCGCCGTTCTCTGGCGCCTACGCTGACTGGCCATCATTTCGTGATCTTTTCCTGTCCGTTGTGAGCAGCAATTCCATCTCGAACATCGAGCGCCTTTACCACCTTCGCTCATGTCTGACAGATCAGGCTAAAAAATTGATAAAGTCACTACCTGTCACAAGTGACAATTACGATCGCGCTTGGGCAATCTTAGACAAGCATCATGATAATAAAAGAGAGTTAATCCGCTCCAACTTTGCCACGTTTACCGCCGTGCCAAAGATGAAGGGAGATACCGCCGAGGAGCTGAGCCGCATCCACAACGCTGTCACCGCCGCCGTCAATGCACAGGAGAGTATTGGACGTCCTATCAACACGCACGGGATGGACCTGTTCAATCACCTGGTCATCGAATTGTTCGACGCACGCACTCGTCTCGAGTGGGAGTCAACCACATCAGACTCTACCACAGAACGAGGCACTTCTCGACTTTATTAGTCGACGGATATTGACACTCAACGCCGCACGACCGAGGAGTGGTACGAAAGGCCCCGGAAAGGCATCACGATTCGCCAAAGCGCACGTCACAAAACATCAAGGCACAGATTCATCTCAGTGTGCGCTGTGTCGTGAAAAACATACACTGATGACCTGCAAAGAATTCAAGGCCAAGACCGCGGTCGAACGAAAAACGTTCGTGAAGACCAACCGACTGTGTTTCAACTGTCTGGGCAACCACTTCTTGTCACGGTGTCAATCGAAAAAGAATTGCCTCACTTGCAACGCGCGACACCACACCATGCTGCACGGGGCATCCACGTCAACACCGTCAGCTGAGACCACGTTACTTGCCACCACACTGGCCACCTCACGGCAATCTGAAAGCCACAAGGCCATCCTTCTCGCAACTGCTCGCGTCAAGGTCGCTGATTGCTACGGATCACCACACGAGGTTCGAGTCTTGATTGACCAGTGCTCCAAGGTGTCCATCATCTCTGAGGCTCTGGCTCAGCGTCTTCGTCTGCCTCGAACTTCAACGGATCTGTCCATCTTTGGCATTGGAGGGACTCGCTCTGGATCGGCTCGTGGCAAGGTCACGCTGGACATCACGTCCAACGTGACCAACGCCGAGCTCCGCGTGGTTGCCTTTGTGCTGCCTCGCATCTCATTGCAACAAGGCACCGCCCAACACGAGGATCGTAGCTGGCTCCACATCCAAGGACTCCGATTGGCCGACCCGCGTTTCCTGGATGACGACCCTGCGGAGCTACTTCTTGGAGCAGAGGTCTACTCGTTGATCCTTGAGGAAGGCCTTTGCAAGGGCGGCTCACGCATGCCGATTGCCCAGCAGACTAGCTTAGGATAGATCCTGTCCGGGGGCTACGACGCAGCAGCCACCGACGGACATCGCCGCACGTTTCAGTGCACCGCCGACAACGACCTCGCTGACCTGGTTCGACGATTCTGGGAGCAGGAACGTGAGCCAGTAGCTGGGATCTTGCTCACCGCCGACGAAGCCAAATGCGAGGACATCTATGTGCGCACAGTCACACGCACATCCAGTGGAAAATACATGGTGAGGCTGCCATTTGCTTCACCGCCGACATCGCTCAGCGAGACTCGTCGACCTGCAGAGCGCCTCCTGGAAGCAATGGAGCGGAAGGGAGCCCGTGATGCTCGGTTCGGTGACCTTTTTCGAGATTTCATGGACGAGCACGAAGACCTGCAACATAAGGAGAAGGTTAGCACGTCTACAACAACTTCTAGCCCCAGGTGCTACTTACCGCATCACGGGGTCCTCAAGAAGTCGAGCACGACCACAAAGCTCAGGGTTGTGTTCAACGGCTCCCAACGCACACGGTCCGGAGAGTCGCTGAACTCGCACCTCCTCACTGGAGCTAATCTCTTGCCAGCACTCGCTGACGTCTTATTCCGTTGGCGTTGGCATCGGTACGTTTTTGTCACGGACATCGAGAAAATGTACCGACAAATTCTTGTGCATCCGGAGGATTGTCGCCTGCAAACCATCCTGTGGCGCCACAACAGCTTGGACAACATCCACGAGTACGAGTTGAAGACCGTGACCTACGGACTGGCGTGTGCACCCTTCCTCGCCATCAGGACTCTTCAACAATTTGCTGCAGACGAAGAGACACGGTATCCACGCGGAGTCAGGGCGCTGCGACACGACTGTTACGTCGACGACGTGGTCACCGGTGCTGACAGCCTAGCGGATGCTATCGAACTTCAACAGGAACTACGGAGTCTCTGCATGGCGGGCGGATTTCCTTTAAGAAAGTGGGCTGCCAACAATTAGCAGGTGCTCACAGGAATTCCACCGGAACATCGGCTTCAACGCGGACCGCGCTCGTGGGAAGGAGAGAGCCACGCTACCCTGGGTCTTCGATGGCATTCTTAAGGTGATTGGTTCTCCTTCACCATACGTCCACGTGCAATCACCGACCTCACAAAGAGACGAGTTTTGGCCGAGACAGCTCGACTATTTGATCCGATGGGCTGGCTAGCACTTGTCGTCATCCGAGCCAAAATTCTGATCCAGACTACGTGGCTTTAACGGCTGGATTGGGACTCTCCGCTGCCTGATCGCACACCGCTGGAGACAGCTGTTAAGGGGATGCCGGAGGTCTACTTTTACCGGCCGAACGATTATATTTTTCCAACACCAAGAAGTTTTTATTGCGTTAATAGAATAACAAATGCTTTTCCACGATTAAAGTTAATACAATAATAAAGTACGCAGCTGTCTCAATTTGTGTAAAAAGACAAAAAATTTTTAACAACGAGTTTTTTTTCTGTACACATTGTGATTATGTTAAGTAAAAAGAAATAATTTTTTAAAAAAAGTGTTATGTTCGTGACAAAAAAGTAAGTTTGTTTGGGAAAAAATTAAATTTCCGTGATCCCCGCGCGCCTTCGATATACGCTACTGAGAGCTCTCTGTAATTGTGTACATCGACAGTTTGTTATTGCGTCCACAAGGGCGAAGCGCTGAATTAGGAGAGAGTTTCCGCGTCTTTAAAAAGGAGCGATGCGGCACGGAGGGCGAGTCTGGTACGACGAGCCGTCCGGTAAACCCGAGAAGAACATTTGTGATCCGAAGAATAAAAATTACGTATTCTTACTTAGAATAAAGAGACTAGTTCCTGCTATTTATCCTTGCCTATCGACGCAGTCCACAAGAGAGAACTAGGCGATAGCTCCAATAAAAACCAAAGGAGAAAATATACAAAACATGGTCTTTCGAGCCGGATCTGTGTCGAGAAATTAACGGATGGATTCAAACAAGATACACGTGCAAGCAGTGCAATTACTTCAAGTGAGCCATTCAACAATTGCGCTACATTCCGAGTAAAAATTTCCGTACGACAAGGAAGTATTTCGACTCACGTACATACGTTCTCCATTTCAACACCGTGTTTACCTTACAAGGTCGAGCTCTGCAAGACAATAGATCGAAATGGACAAGGCAATATTTGCGTTCGATACGAATTTACGTTATTTAACGAACTCAATAACGAATTTCCAAAAGCTTGGAGTTGATAATCAAACTCATGCCATCACTAAAGGACGATTTCAACTCTTGCAAAATTACTGGAATAAATGCCAGGAGAATGCCGCTATCATTGAGGCAGTAGCAACCGACGCAGACGCGGCACAGCTTCCCTTCTTCAAGAGCAAGCTGCTAGACAAGGCGGAGGTCTCGTACATGCAAGCCTACGACTTCTTTCAAGAAAAACTCGAGGCATTCAACGTCGCTTCAATTTCCATTCCTGTACCAACGGCGGCCGCAACGACGTCCATCAACGAGATCCGATTGCCGAAGATCAACTTGCCTTCTTTCTCCGGTAATGTAACCGAGTGGCTAACTTTTCGCGATTTGTTTCTTGCGCTCGTTAAAAATCGCCGTTCCATATCGCAAGTCGAGAAATTGCAATATTTATTATCCGCGGTTACTGGCGACGCTGCTAAGTTGATTTCCCATCTTTCTCTAACCGATAGTAATTTCGATGTTGCATGGAAGGAACTCACGAATCGTTACGAAAATCAACGCGTTATTATTGACGCATATTTCAAACGTTTATTTACCATTCCTAATGTTTCGTCTAACGATCTGTTCGGGTTAAAACAATTACGCTCCAATTCATCGGAATCGATAAATGCTCTGCGTGCCTTGAAATGTTCTGTAGATGAATGGGATATGATTTTAGTCTACATTCTTGTACAAAAACTAGACAAATTGACGAGAAAAGATTGGGAAGTCAGCTTAGGTTCAGAGAGGAGATATCCTACGATGGAAAAACTATACGCGTTTCTAGATACACAAATTCGTTCGCTTGAGGCTGTATCCAAGGACGGAGATAACTCGAAGTCCGCCAACGGAAACTCATCCGAAAAGAGTTCCGGTGCTCGCTCGATTCCAAATGCGGCACGAAAAAATAATATAGTGCGTTCTCACCATACAAACACCGCGAGTACGTGCGCTCTTTGTTCCGAAACACATCGTTTAATGCATTGCGAGAAATTTCAAGCGTTAAGCATTTCGCATCGACTAGAGTTTGTTCAAAAAAATAATATATGCAAAAATTGTTTGACCAAAGGTCATTACGTTTCGAATTGTCGTAGTTCCTTTACTTGCTTGAAATGTAAAAGACAACATCATACTTTGTTACACGAGAATTCAAGGTCAAGTTTAACGACAACAACAGACTCTGGACAATGCGATAACGCGTCCAACGTACATTCACACGTGAACGCGGGAGTTAAACCCGTGCTCCTGGCTACCGCACGTGTTTGTATAGGATCAGAAAACGGTCGATATGTTTACACGCGAGCACTGATCGATCAAGGTTCCGATGCCACATTCGTTTCGTCACGAGTCGCTCAAATGTTGAGAGCTCGCTTAATTTCAACACGCGTAAAGGTATCTGGCATCGGTGACACTACGTCTAATTGCGTTCAACATGCCGTCTCTATTTCTATCAGCGCGACTAATAAAAATGATACGATTCTTCATACCAAAGCATTGGTCGTTCCAAAAATTACAGCGTACATTCCACCTCATTTCCAATTACAAGAGATTCCGTTTCTTTCCAAATTGAATCTAGCCGATCCAAATCCAAGCTCAAATGATGCAATCGAAGTACTTCTCGGGGCCGAATTATACGGTTCAATTATGATGGGTGGCTTAATGAAAGCTTCTAACGATGCTACACTTGCGCAAGAAACGATATTCGGGTGGATCATTTCGGGTCCTATTTCAAACCAAAAAATAGCCAAAGAATTCACGTTCACCAAGCAACTTCTGGCAATCTCGATTTCGAACTCCGACGTTTTTGGGAGCTGGAAGAAATTCCAACGACACACGCTCTCTCAGAGGAAAATCTTCGTTGCAACTTACATTTTCAAGAGACACATATGCGCGATTCTTCAGGGCGCTATGTTGTCCGCTTACCCTTCAAGTCTGGTCCTCCGATAAAGATCGGCGAGTCAAGGTCAGTAGCTACGCGTTCACTCGCGCAACTAGAGCGACGTTTAGCCAATTCTCGGGAAATTTCAGGGCAATACGTCGACTTTCTTAACGAGTACGAAGAGCTCGGGCATATGCAAAAAATCGAAAACGTGCAACGCTTCTTTCAACCGACGTTTCTACCTCATCATCCAGTTATTCGCGAGGACAATACTACAACCAAACTTCGTGTAGTGTTTAATGCCTCGGCAAATACCTCGAATAACACTTCTTTGAATGACCATCTTATGATTGGTCCAAAGTTGCAAGCCGATCTTCCGGCGATTATTCTTCAATGGCGTTTGTACAAATACGTTTTTTCCGCTGATATTCAGCAAATGTTTCGACAAATACAGATTCATTCAGACGATCGCCAATATCAATTAATATTGTGGCGTACGATTCCGAACGAGCCAGTCCATACTTATTCATTAAATACCGTTACTTATGGTACTGCCTGCGCGCCTTATCTCGCCCAACGCGTGCTCAAACAACTTTCAATCGACGAGAGTTCGCGTTTTCCACTAGCTCAAGCAATTTTGCAAAATGAAATATACGTTGACGATGTCCTATCCGGAGGCGATGATAAACCATCCACGATTAAAAAACGCGACCAACTAATCGGCTGTTTACTAAGCGCAGGCATTCATCTCAGAAAATGGGCCAGCAACGATTTTGAAATTCTACAAGATATAAATCCTGCGAATCACGGTCTAGCAAGTTCCAAGCCTTTCCAAGAAGGTGAACAATTAAAAATACTCGGTATTCATTGGACACCTTGCGATGATAATTTCTCCTTTGAAATAAAATTCCGTCCACCATCTACCGACATTTCGAAACGACAAATCCTTTCGACGATAGCGAAAATATTCGATCCCCTCGGATGGGTGTCTCCGATCACAATATCTCTCAAAATTCTACTGCAAAAACTGTGGAAATTTTCCTACGGATGGGATGATATTCTTCCTGCGGAAATAACAACCGAATGAAATGCTTTTTGCGAAAAGATGTTACACTTGACGACTCTGCAAGTTCCTCGTTGGTTAGGCTTTGAGCGTAACATTCAGTGCTTGCATTTACACGGCTTTTGCGACGCTTCATCTAAAGCTTATGCAGCGGTAGTCTATTCAAAAATTGTCACGAATTCTGGCGATAGTCATGTTCGACTTCTCCTATCAAAAACCAAGGTCGCTCCGATTAAAACGATTTCGATTCCACGACTCGAGCTCTGTGCGGCTCAGCTGCTAGCACGCTGTATTTTGTTTACTATTGACGCGATGAAATTGCAAAACATTCCTGTGTTTTGCTGGAGTGACTCGACAATCGTATTAGCATGGTTGCAAAAGGCTCCATCAGATTTAAAAGTATTTGTAGCTAACAGAGTGTCTTCTATTCAAACGAAGCTTCCTACGGCGACATGGCTGCATGTGCCAACAGAAGATAATCCCGCAGATTGCGCATCGCGCGGCATAAATCCAGCTCAGCTAACGCCTTCCAGTTCCTGGTGGAACGGCCCGGCATGGCTGAAATTTAACGAGGATAATTGGCCAGTTCAATCTACGATAAGTTGCACCGAAGATGATTCCGAATTGAAAGCGTCAAATGCAGTCCACTCGCATCATTCAAATCGAGCGGAACTTTTTGAATCCTTCAATCATATCTCCACGTGGCCACGCTTACTACGGGTCACCGCATACGTCCTTCGGTTCAAGTTTCGAACGAGAGTCCCAGATGTTGCTCAAGGTCTCTCTATTTTGCAAGTCGATGAAATAAAAACCGCGCACAGATTC